CTTGCAGCGCTTCCAATTGAGAGGCGATGCTGTCATCATTATCAGAATCTAAGCGGCTAAGTCTATGAAACAAGTGATGTGCTAATGATTGTATTCTGTTCAGTGCTTTAAGGGAACTAGCTCTAGAAGAAGTTTGAGAAGTAAGATCATCTAAACTGTCTAATTTCTCCCTAATAATATCCAACTCTGATTCTATCTCTACTTCACAAGTTAATATTTCATCAGAAGGTAAATCTTTATTTAAAGCACGTACTTGTGCCTTTAAAGCAGGCACCCCGTCCACAGGCTTCGCACCCCTAATTCTGACTTCATATTCCAACTCATCTTTGTGTAACAAGTTAAAAGTGATTGGCCTCTGTTCCATTTTGTAAGTTAAAATTACTCCTAGTGTGGCAAAATAAAGAAATGTTCAATAACAAAGTGTAATTAATATGATAATAAAATCACCTACCTGTTAAGATATATCAGTTAAAATAGTAGTGTTGTAACAAGTGTGGTTTCACACCTGAGGGTTGAAAATTGTTAGGTTCTAAAGGATTAGGTTTCTCAATGTTAGGTTTCTTCTTGTTAGGTTCAAAAAAGTGAGGTTGGTGAACTAACCTACCAAAAATCAGTACACAAGAGGGTTTTTTTTTTTTCCTTTAAATAAGGGTATAAAAAAGTAAATATGACTTTTTTGATTGTAAATTTTGAGCCAATATCGATCATCCGATGTTACAAATTATTATGTTTACAACACAGTATAACCAGATAAACAAATCTTTGGATATAAGCCAAATAATTCAGAGAAAAAAGAAAAATTAAAAAAAATCACCAATATCGATCAACCTTTTTTGAGCAAAAATGACCAAAAAAAAAGAGCAAAGTAAATGCTACAAAGCCTTGCTTCCACTTGTTCGGGCGCCACATGTTATGTTAAATTCTCTTCAACAGCCCTCCTTTAGCCCACTCAGAGCACCGGGGGAACAATAAAAGAAAACCAAAAAAATTAAGATAATGTTATAAGTATATTTTATCCACTTTAGATACCAAAGCCTAGGACTTCAGTAGATTTAAGTTATTGCTTATATAAATCAACAAGTCTAACTATGTTTATTATTTATATAATAACTCTGTTTCACTAATTATAAATATCTAAGCTGAATACAGTAGTTCAAAGTTAATGTGTATATAAACCAACAAGTTGTCATGAAAGGTTATAATTATATGAATATCAAACATTCATAACACTTTACCATGTACTTACAATATAATCCTTACTAATATATTTTATCCACAAATACCACATAGACTAGACTGAATAAGCTATTGAGTGGATTTCAGAGGTTCTACGGCTCGTTTGATCGATATTGGTGACAAACTTAGTTAATTCTAGTTCTCAGTGAGATAACCAGTTATATAGGTATATGTAAATATATGGAAATGGGCAAGTCGGGGTCCAACCTCGCCTGTTGTTTCCTTTTCACGTTCACCCGGGGTTAGTAGAGAAATACCTTGATTATGATAGGTTAAGCTGTGTATAATCTGTCTGCTGTTCGGCCGGGTTACATAAAACCGGAGAGCGGCTGGCAAATAAACTCCCGCGCCCCTTCTGGTCCGTGCACAGAACAAAAGTCTCCTTGTTAGTCCTCCAGTATTTCTTGAGGGGAACGTACAAGCCTGAAGTTCACATTGAAAAAGAATGATCAGATATGGGGAAAATACATAGATTACCACATCTGTGGTGGGTGAGGGAGTGAGGGATATTCACGGTCAATGTTTACACTTTAAAATTTGAATCACTACAGGACTGGGGGCCCGTCCCACCCGGTTTGAAGAAAATCAATTCCACGTTCACTAACTTGACAAGAATGATTAGGTATATTTGATGACAAGAATCACTATATTGTGCATAATGCAGTTCAATTAGTGCTAGGAGAATAAATATGAGATCCGATGATAGCTTACCGTTCGAATTATGAAACTATCCGTAAGTATTTTGTTTCCTATCACAAGTTACCGCCTTATTATTGCAATCGCCTTGCGAAGGTTCGTGTTCGTCCACGAAACTCAGTTCGGTTAGCGACTCCGCGCTTTTTCCGCCAATATCCTTCGGGATATAAACTCTTCGGATCTATCTCACGACTTCGACGACAATAATATGCCGTTTATTATACTTTGGGCAGAAGAAAAGATGAAAAGTTAACTGTACCACAAACAGATTGTGAAATTTTTAAAAGTTGTTTTGACAATTGCTCATAGATGATAGACGAATCGTCTACTCCCAAACATGTGTCTATGATTTGTTTCCCACTTCAACTGAAGGCAAAGGCCACAGTCAAACAGACAGCCGCCGCATTCGAGACGAACCGAAGAATAAACTCAAAACTATATACCTACGCTCGCCGTAAGCTGAGGAAAAGGGAATACCTACCCAAATCAGCGAGGAAATTCAATTTCGAGTAAAATTCAAAATCGATTAAAAAACAGCACCCGATAAGGAGGACTCAAATCGATCTGGGAAAGACTATTCAAAATTCAACAACTGTCAAACTCCATCCATTCATCCACGCGCCCCACAGAGATTCCCCGCCTGATTACTTTTTTTTTTTTTTTTTTTTTTTTTTTATAAGTCTCAAGGCGAATATTTTAGTCGAATAGGAAAATCGACTCTTCCCTCAAGGCTACCAACCCAATCAATGAAGTTTGACAGCTACGCTGACGTAAGCGGTTCGCTATCATAGACAAAACAGCTGTCCTACGTGTGTCAGTGTCACGCTCTGTTTAAAAACAAACACTACAGTATCTCTAAGGTATTAATAATTAATAATATTAGGAATTATTATTGATAAAAAACTTACTTTTAATAGCCACATTAGCTACATATGTAACAAAACAATAAATATTTATAAGGGGATATCGAGGGCGGCCAAAACTACATGGGGTCTGAACCCAGAAATAATCAGAACGATATATTTAGCTGTGATAGAACCAATTATATTATACGGAGCAAGCGTCTGGGCAAAGGGGGCCCACAAAATTATTAGTATTAAGAAATTGAAAGTTGTACAGAGGGGATTCGCTCAAAAATTAGCCAAATGCTACAGAACAGTGTCGCTCAACGCTGCGCTAGTGTTGTCGGGGCTTCTTCCGCTGGATCTCCTGGTCCATGAAGCATCACGGCTTTATGAAGCCAAACGTGGAAAGCCCCTGGAAATACTGTGCGATAGAAAGGTGGAAGAAAGGGTGTCCTTCACGGAATCGGTCCACCTTGGGAGCAGCAGCGTGATAGGCTTTGAGTGTGTGGAAAACGCGGAGGAGGATAGCAAAACGGCAAAAGGTCTTGTGAAGATCTATACAGATGGTAGCAATCTAGAGGGAAAGGTAGGAGCCGCCCTGACCTGTTGGAAAGGGCAGGTGGAAGAACTGTCCCGAAAGTTTAAGCTAGAGTCATACTGTACAGTCTTCCAAGCCGAGCTGTATGCTATCCTCCGAGCCACGGAATGCGTGCTAGGGAATGAACGGAAGGAAGTCGCCGTACTCAGCGACTCGAGATCCGTTCTCCAGTCGCTGGCTGATCCAGACTCCTCGCACCCGATCACAAAGGCAATACAGGGGAACCTGGTCCAACTTAGGGAAAACGGAAAAACCGTATCCCTATATTGGATCAGGACCCACGTCGGCGTGGTCGGGAACGAGAGGGCGGATGAGCTAGCGAAGGGAGCGGCTCTCGGGTTGAAGTGTAAATCGCACTATGACGGCTGTCCCATCTCTGTTGTCAAGCGATATTTACGCGCTGAGACTAAAATAGAATGGGGCAAACGTTATAGGAGCGAAAATACGGCGGCCACAACAAAGGCACTTTTCCCTTGCGTAGAAAATGCCTTTGAAATAGTAAGGAAGATTGAGATTGACAGAATTGCTGCTCAGATATTCACGGGAAACGCAGGTTTTTCCGCCTACCTCCATGGATTTAAGAAGAAGGACAACCCTAGATGCGTCTGCGACCCAGGTGCAGAGGAGGACATCTTCCATGTTCTCATAGAGTGCCCCCAGTACGGAACACAAAGACACACACTACAAACACGCATTGATACACAAATCAGTAAGGACACATTAAGGGAAATCTTTGAAAATGTGAAAGAAAGGAAACTATTTCTAGAGTTTAGTCGGGAAATAGTAAAAAATGTAATAGAAAGAATTAAGGACTAGTAAATAAAGCTAATACAGCACCTCAATGGTAAAATAAGTATTTATGATGAAAATGTAAAAATAATAAATATAAAAAGAAGCAAATATGTAAAAATTCATAGGAAATAAATAAACAAGAAAAATGATTGTAAAATAGATATAAGAAATTCAAAACTCATTGAAACAAAAATGTAAATATTCATAATAAGTAAAATATGTAATAGAATTATGAGATAAGAGATAAAAAAATAAAAAAACAAAAAAAAGAAGCACAAAAAAAGGAAACAAATGAATGGAAAACAAAACAGAATATAAAGGCCTGTAACAAAACGGGGATTAAAAGAAAAACTAAAATAAAATAAAAAAAAATTACACGCGAATACTGGTTCTTATACTACACGCGTATCTTTAACACCGACCCTGCTTCTAAAAGGGTCCTGTAGATTATTATTTTATTTTTTCATTTGTTTTTGAATACAAGAAACTAGAAATTCCACTATGCGCAATCAGTTGATTTCACGCAGATGTTTGGTAGTTCTCAGAATTATAATACTCAAGGATGGCTGAGAATTTTTATTCTTAATTATTTCTTTATTCCATCTTGCTTATATTTTCACTATATTCTTTCTTTATGGTTTTTCTTTTTGCCCTCACATCCAAATATGTATGTGATTCATTTTTTTCTTGCTATTCCGTTTCACTCATTGATTATTTTTTCTATTTAAAGGATTTTATTTAATTTTTATCTTTTTCGATTGCCCAAAAGTAATTAAAAACAACAATAACTTATATTTATCTTGAAAATACATTTGAGAATTTATTTTTCGTAGTTGGAAGCAATATTACAAGGACTTCACGAGAGGCGTCAAGTTACACTTGAACAAGGACAAAGAGGCTGGCTCGCCTGCAGCAAGGAAACAATTTGACAAGTACTTAAGTATTAGAATATTTTTAGTCAGTGTTCGTAAAGATTTGCATTACATGTGCTTTAGAAAAATTAGGTATCTTTTGGTGATTGGCAAAGTATCGAAAATCATAGCTTACGGCTTATAAGTTCCAGTAAACACGATTTTCAATGTTTTTCTTACATTCCAAGTCCAACATATTATGTATCATAGTCTGCTCTGTTACTTTTATAGAGTTTCTAGATTCCTGCATTTTGATATTAAGCGATTGACTATCAAGAATTGGATACAAGATAGAATCGCGTGTAATGGAGATCTGATTAATGCGCATTTAGATTGGCCTTCTGTTCTAGGTCGTCAGTTCCAGGCCCTTTCTCCACGCGCTGCATTAGTCTTGTCTACATTTCTTTCTTGCTTGTTTGGAATCTGATGGCTCAAATGGTTAGCGCGTTTGGCCCACGATCGTAGAAGTCAAGCAACTTTCGCAATGGTCGATCATTGGATAAAAGTAAAAAACTCAAGTAATATTCATTTGCATAAAACACGGTGCATTTATGTTCTTAATTTATTCCAGTTCGTAAATGCGTGTTTTACGAAGATATTGTTAAGCAAACTTCCAATCTTGTCATGTCCTAAATTAAATATAATTGGCAGGTTAAATATGATGGGAATATTTGGATAGGTGACCAAAACCTTATTACCTTTCACTCCTCAATGCTTCGGATGGAACGTTAATCCATTTGTCCCGGCTGCATCTGCAGTACCCACCAATCCACACTGGGCTCGCGTGGTGGGTCACGGCCACATCTTCATATTCCATCCATAGGGAAGGTCTGCGCTCCAGCAGTGGGGGCTTGGTGATGATAATGATATATGAAATCTATTACGTTGAAATTATCTTTCGTATTCCTTCTCAGATTGTTCTACATCCACAAGGCGGTGTCGCTTTTCCTCCTGCTGTTACTGGCTTGGTTAACACGAGGAGTGTTGCTGCGTGTGGCGACAGCTATCGCTGACAGTTTACCGGGACAAATCGGGAGGATCGCCACCGATGCAGTGCTGTACCTCGAAACCTTCTAGCTACATTTATATTACGGTTCAAACTGCTGTAGCTGTTGAGGTAGCGCAAGTAGTGGTGTGCTAAGCGACAGAACCTCAGGACCAAATGCGATATTTTATGTATGAAGGCTATCTTAATTCAATGCCTTTTTGATACTATTTGATACCCACATTAAATTAAAATGTGAAACGAAATTTAGATGCGCACGGAGCCATAGATGTTAGTATGGTCTGAGCGTTCCCTAAGTGTCAAGAATATTGGGCATATAAGTGTGAAAGGAACTAAGCGATCGTGCGGTCAATAGTTTATGAAGACATTGGCTGTAGCGTCGCTTTCTTCTCCTCTCTTTATAGACTGCTAAATTTCATGAGAGTGTCGTTCAGTCCATTCTCCTTTTCTTTGGGGTTTCACTGACTACCTGCGCGGAGTTTCGCTCGTTGCTAACTTTAAAATCTAAATAATAGTAGGGGAGCATCTTCTTGAAGTTCTCCCACCGGCATGGTGCAAGGTTTCCTCTCTTATGTTCTTCCGAGCTCGAGTAAATCCCAAAAGCTCCGCTTGGGCTCCCTTATGTTATTCTTGCTATATGTTTATAAATCGTAAAGTCGGCTTGGGCTCCAGTGTGTTATTCTGCCGCGCTCGAGTGAATAAGGGGTATGTTTTTCTGGTTATGCTTATGGTGGGAGTATTCACAAGGTGCAAGGTTTCCCCCCAAAAAAAAAACCTAACGCCCTGAACAGGGCCACTAAAAACCAGAAAATACTCCTGCACCGTTGCCGACTGTCCGCGCACCCGCAAGGTGATTGTTCGCGAACGGACCCACCCCGATGAAGGTGCCCCGGAGTATCAGGGGCACCAGCATCAAGAGAGCTTGTGCAATGCAGGCCGGTCCCCCCCCTCCAGGGCAGATCCGCGGCTCTCACAGGAGTGGGAGGGAGAGCGTAGTTCTCTCCGTCCCTCTCCATCCACCTTGGGCCTTTTGAGCATCTACCACCACTAATCTCAGACTCACTGTGGGGTAATGCTTCTACCCTGGTCCTGAAAAGGACCGTTGAAAGTTTCCCCCCTTATGTTATTCTGCCGCGCTCGAGTAAATCCCCGAATGTCAGCTTGGCTATCTAAAAAGTTGAGTTACAGCCGACGCCCACCACCTTGAAACCCAGTCCAGCTGACTTCATTGCAGCATGATTTTGAGTTTTGATGTGAGAATGGTTATAAATTACCAGGGGTTAAGTAATGTATTGTAACTATTACTCCCTTCAATATCCCGCTTACCTGACATATAGGAAATGGATTAGCTTCATTACACTCGCTCTAGCTCTGAAATGGTGGGAAAAGAGTAAAGTTTCACTATTATTAGCCCTCATCCCCTCGAAGTAATGTTTGTTACGCAAGCAACTGTAGTTTGCAATGATTTAGTGTAATTTTATATCATGCTAAAAAAACTTCATTATTATTTGAGCAACTTTTTATATTTTTTATTGCTATTGGTCTCGGATTCCATGTAATAACTATTGTATTATGTTCAGGGCTTGTTTACCGGTTAATTTTCAAACCTAAATCAGTGTTAAGTACATTAGGAGCGTTTTATTTAGGTTTGGCTCTACCTGAACCTTGAAAAAACCGGTTTTCCTAAACAGCGAAATCAAGTAGGTTTTGAATCAATTTAGCGGTTTTTAAAGGGTTTCATTTCGCTCTTACTGACGGCTGAAATATATACACAACTTCAAAATGTATAACTTGACTCACTCGACACTAGCAAACGTGTCAATAAACGCATCAATCTCTGAGCATTAAAAAGTTGTGACTTGATTAGTTCAAACAAAACAAACTTCAAGCGATGCTGACGCGTGCACGTGTCGCTTTGGATTAAACCGGTTTATTAAGGTTTTAGGTACCGCTTTTATTTCGGACGCGCTCCGAACGAAACCTTTACTAAAAACCGGTATTAACCTTTATTTACCGGTATTGTAGAAACCGGTTTCAAACCCTGATTGTGGTCATGCCTAAGCATGAACTTTTGACAGCTATGGATATAAAAAGCTAGTTTGTTCTTATGTCCGCTGCTTAGTTTTCATAGAAACTTTGACGATGCGATACGTTAAAGAACTGTCAAAAATCTATTCGTGCTTGGGCTTCTGTTTATTGTTTATTGTAATGGTGCAATTACACTAAGTCGAGTGAATAAATGAACGAGTCGAGTACGCTCGGTATTCGGGTATTTTCGTTTCGATTACCCGACACCGTCTTCCAGCCCGTATTTCAGTGTAAATATTGCTTCCGGTGCCCGAAGTCGGGTAATGTCTTTCGTGCACCAATACAGGCTAAAGATCAAGTGTAATTGAGCCATAACTCTTGTATTTTTAATAAGCAATCTAAGGTGTTTCGCAATGTATTGTGAATTTTGGAATTGGCAAATGTAAGCGAGTTGATAACGGTTTTAATGTTAAAATATTATATTGTTATTGATTATAATAAATAAATGGATTTTTACTGTTTACAAGGCTTTGTCTCATTTCTATATAAGATTAGCGACATATATCAGCTTAAATAAAACTAGTTTTTACGGGTTAATGCACGAAACTGTATTTATTGATGTTTCGTAGCCTTTACAGGCTACGTCGTCAGAATCAAACTTTTATTGACCTAAGAAACAAATATATATCAGCTTTGCATAATTTTAAATATAATAAAATGTATGGATTCAGATTGCTTATCCAGTTACTTAAAAATACTCCCTCCACCCTTATTTATAAACAAAGAAAAAGCTTGGATTACTTACTCTATGTTTTGTCTCTGTTCATTGAATTATAGATGACACTTGAGTGTCATGAACAAAACACGGCGCAACTATCCTAAACATATTCGTCGTTTATTAATAAGGGGGCATATGTTTCGCATATTAAATGCCTTAGTACGCAAAAGCGATATTCTCAGGTTAATGTTCAAACCCAAACGAATTTGAGTTATTTTAATTTTTTAAGACAAAAAACTAGTTAATTTGGGTCGTACATTGCATAAATAAAAAAAACAGTTTTTACGGGTTATATGCACTGAATTTATTTATTTATTGAAGTTTCGCATCCTTTTCAGGAATGCATTATTGGTATAGTATTCCGGAATAGTATTTATTTATTGAATGAAACGTCAATAAATAACTACTATATTTATATAATAATAATAATAAACATTTATTTCAGACTTTAAATCCATATAGGTACAAGTGTTAGTAACAGACGAAATCTTATTCTAGTGTTAGCAAATCAAAAAAGTACAATCGAACACAAATACAACAAATAACAATATAACACCTTCGGATTCCGATGGGACTCGTCTGTTATTTATAAATAATTATAATGACAGACTGGCGAATGTAGCTTAAGCCAGTGTCGCGATAGTGGGGAGTCCCATCGGTCAGCCAGTGCGCTCAGGACACTGTTGGAGCTGTCGCGCACGCGCGCCCACAGCGAGGCGCAGCGCTTTCTAATGATCGTGTAAAAGCAATCAATACGCGCCTCGGCAAACATAGACGACGCACTGCAATAACGCGGCAGACCGAACAACATCCTGAACGTGTTATTATATTGGACTCGCAGTGCGCTGTATGTCCGCTGCGTAAAGTTCACCCAAAGACCGCACGTGTAGAACGACTGAAAATAAGCTTTGAAAAGCGTCAGTTTGACTCGTTTACTACACTGTGCAAATCTGCGGGCCAACATGTTACAGCGGACACACAACGCCCTACGTTTCCTCTCCATATCTACTGAGTCCGACAAGTCAGTGACCCAATGGACCAAAAACCTTAATTTTTCAACTTTTTTAAGTTCAGTGCCCCCGAGGGTAACGGAAGGTACACTGCGCTGACACCCTGCCGTCCCAGCTCGAAATACCATGAACTCACTTTTAAGACAGTTGTATTTGAGTCCATGAACCTCTGTATTTTTTTCACACATATAAAGCAGCTTCCTCAATGCACCAATCGATGGGCTCAGCAGCACCATATCATCGGCGTAACTAATATTATTAATACAAACACCACCGACGTAGCATCCAATATAGGTACTCCTGATATATATATATATATATATATATCAATACAAAGTATACAAAATTTTTGCAACTCAAGGGTCCTTACTTATGTACAAAACCGAAATTCTATATTATTCTTTGCCCGCCCAAGGAGGGATCCTTCCTACAATCTGGGGTCTTTTAACAGAGGCGTGAAGAAGCATTTTATTATTAGTTATGAGTTCTGACATGCGGGCAGATCACACGATACTTTCTCAGTCGTGCTATTAAAGTTGCATGATTTTGATTTTCTCACTCATCATTTCGCAGGGAACTAGTGTTTCAGCAAAGCTGCAATTTATGTATGTTTTTACATCATTATTATACATGTATATTTAAAAAACCAGACAAATAAGTCGGTTCTAAATGCAGGCAGACTATATAATAGTTTCGCAGTCATGCATAGGGAGATACACGATATTGACTTTCTCTCTCTTCATCTCGCAGGGGTTCAGTATTCAAGCACCGTTGTAAATACGATGGACAAGGGCTGTTGAATATACGCTATCCATTTCGGAACCTATTTGAATAAAATAAATGTTTTTCTCTGCATTTTAATAGGAATGTTACCTGACCTTCGCGCCATTAGTTTATCCTCCCTAGGGAAAAATAATTTGCCTTGTTTTAGCAAAGCTGAAACTTATGTTTGTTGTTTATGATATTATTGTACATATATATTTTAAGAATTAGACAGATAAGTCGATTCTAACATGCGGGTAGACAATATAGTGTTTTCTCTGTCACGCTAATGTAAAAACGATGCTCAAGTTTAGGTAAATATACAATATTTATTTTATAGCTTCTTTGAATAGAACAGATGTCTTTCTTTTCGATGAAATAGAAATTTTACCTGGTCCTTACTTCATTAGTCTACCCTCCCAAAGAAAATAAATCTATATTACATATATAAAACTCAAAGGTGACTGACTGACTGACATAGTGATCTATCAACTTCACTATGTCTGAATTTTGGGGCTCGGGCTGAAATCGGGCTGAAATTTGGCATGCAGGTAGATCCACGCGGACCAGGCAGCGGACGGGACTTTAGATTTTAGGTTTCTTTAGATTTAAATATCTAGCAGTTAAATGCTTAAAAAAATCATGCAGGTAGATGTTATGACGTAGGCATTCGCTAACAAATGATTTTGATCAGTTCTACCCCCAAGGGGATAAAATAGGGAATGAAAGTTTGTATGAAACTTTGTCAATTTTTAACCGATCGGGCTGAGACTTTGATGCAGGTATAAGAATAATCAAAGATGAATGTCATTGTGTATAATACAAACCTGAGAACAAAAACTGTAGTCTACACTTCAGCTCCACACCGAAGCGAATCGAGGGCGGGCCACTAGTATCTCATAAACCTGGATTGTTGTAACGGTCCGCTACAGGTCGCGTCATGTAAAAAGAACGCTGGAAGAAAGTGCAGGGAGTCTGTTTGCGCATGGATACACTCGCACACAAAACTACTAAGAATAAATATAAATAAATATTTGGAATAATACGAATAAACGATGCCCGTCAGACATTACATCCAGAAGAATATGGGTGAATTATTCATTAAGACACATATTTCTTCAAATGGTTTGATGGAGATCAGCTGCCAGGTTTTGTAGCCGATTCGGTCCAATGTCCATCAGGTAACTCAATGAAACACAATAAAATATCCTGTTGCTAGTAATAAAGTCGCATCTCCCATGATGTATAATGAAATATCTTTTTTACAGAATGTAGTATCTCTGATGACGAAGTCGATGAAAATCTCAAAAATTTGGAAGATTTGGAGTGCTGTATTGAATCAACGGAAGTCTGCAGCTCTGACGAAGAACAGTAAATCATTTTGATTTTTTATAGCCATTGTTAAATGTATTTGAATTTCGAGTTGTACGTTTTGTTAGAACAAAATAAATAACTAAATCATTATCATTGTAAGTAAAAAAAAAGTTCTTGATTTCTTTATAAAAACTCATATGTTTATGATTGAAAATAAGAGTTAGAAATTATAAAATTTAAAAACACTATTCACATGTATTCATACTGATTTGCTGCCATTGCCAGTAAGAGTGAGAAAGTCAATATCGTGTATCTCCATTAGCATGACTGTCCCCTTCTCAGAATAATGCAGTCCCCTTCCGAATTGGCTCACTCAGATTCGCTCGCATGCCGCTAGATGGCGTAATCTGCTGTCTGCATCACGCTATAGAATCGTTAATCTCAGACAATAAGTACCCTAGTCGCGCTTGTCAAAGCATACTTACCTGGCATAGGGGACACCGTGATCAGGAAGGCGGTTCCCCCAGGGCGAGGCTCCTCCATTGCACTGCGGTGGGGTTGACCCCTGCGATTATCCCTAATGTGGATAACTCGGATGCGTAATTTTTGGTAGTGGGGACTGCGTACGCGCTGTCCCCCCAATAAACAATAAAATAATATCGTCAATGTGGAAAATAATTAATTTACACATACCGATACAGGCGCATTAAATTCGAATGGAATCCATATTACACTAACAGTTATCTAATCTTTCATTTCATCTAATGAATATTACTAACCTCAACAGAATTTCGAAAAATGTTTATAATTTTTACGAACCGTGCTCGCTTATCTTCAATTCATATTCTAACAACAAAAAGTGCCTGTTCCTCGTCTGTATTGCTGCTATGCTATGCTATGTATTGTACTCTCAAGAAAATATTGTATTTTTTACTTTTTATAACTGTTGCTTTTCAATTTCAAGCTTCATAGTTTCGGTTCTGCGCTATCAGTCACATGTTTTCCCCACCACTCGTTATTGGACATATTTTTATACTGTGGAGAAAAACGAGCGAAAAAGACCACAACATTTGAAGAATTATTCTTTAAATGTTGTGGAGTTTTTTTCGCTCGTTATCGTAACAACATTTACAAATTATTATGTTGTTACAACGATAATACAATCATAATATTCGATCCCAAGCATTCTTTTCTCTAATATAATCAGACACTTTTATAAGAAGCTTTTTTAAAGTATCTTTGAATTTATTTATGGTTAACTCTTGGATATTGCTTGGGACTTTATTGTATAAACGAACACAAGACCAGACAAGACCTTTAAATGAATTATTGATTTTGTGAAGTCTAGTAGCAGGTAAAGTTAGTTTATTTTTATTTCTTGTATTATATTATATTCACACACTTGATCACCACTGATTTTAAGAAACAAGTTAATATTTTTTCTTAGAAGTAAGAAGATTAATATAAAAACACAGCCTTTGAAATTTGTTACATGAGATAGAAAATCTTTTTTAAACTACTGAGTTGGCGAAAAACTAACTAGGAAGAACCACGGGCAAGAAGTTAATTCCACAGGCTCATCGTGCGAGATATGAAGTATATTGATTGATACCAATGTAAAACAGATTATTTTCCACAGT